CAACGATCCTCCTGCCTCAGCCTCCCAAGGGCTGGGATTACATGTGTGGGCTTATATTCAAGAAGTTATCTTTTTATATCATATCAGAGGTGATTTTCCAGATGCCTTAAATCCCTGTTTGTAAGAAACCCTTTACTGTGAAACTCTTCATGATTTTCCAGTTGGGCTAGTCATTAACTTAGGTTTTATGCAATTGTCTTGTGAATTGTTGCCAAATTCCCCCCCCCCCCTGCTCAATATTGCTAGCCTTATCCCATATATCAGGAAATTTACAGGGAGAAAGTTAGGTAGAAAATGAAAAAGATAAGAACAACAATAGATAAAATAGAAATATAGCAAATACAGATTTCCTTATAATTGCCTTCCTTAAGAAGGAAAAAGACTGTAATTCAGCAGAGTTGATGTTGTCTGTTGGTTCAGGAGGAGCAAGTGTGGGCAGGAGATCGGTTTTGGCAGAGGAGTCTCGTGGTGCCAAATGATTCAGAGCCTCACTTTCCCAGGCAGGGACAAGATTAAGACAAAAGGTAAACTTACTCTTAGGGAAGAGATTGGTATTGCTGGAATTTTTTTTTCTGTGAGTTTGTAAAAGATTTCTTTTCTCTTTTTTGTTTTGATAAAGAATTGTAAAAATTACCTTTAATTGTAACTTGCAGAGGTGCCAAATTTTACTTTCCTCTATAGCTCAAGAAACTCAAATCATAAGGAAAAAGAGTATTTCCACTGCAAAAGAAAATTTTTGAAAAGAAAAGAGAATTAGTACAGGTGGTGAAAGGAAAACATGGGACATTCTTCAGGGCATGAAAACTACGCAAGGTTTTCTGAAGTGCAGCATTCTTACATACTCTTACCCTTAACAATATACCATCCCTAATTTTTTTTCTTTTGTCTTCCCTTCTCTACATCATTTTGTATCACTCCTTCACCCATTATTGCAATCCTCTGTTTTAAAATGTGTATTAAGATGCTGCAGGTTCATTGCCTATAAATGCCTGGCAAGCCCTGGTGCTCATGAAAAATCTCAGCCAGGCCCTCTGGTTTCTGAAGAGAGTTGCCTCTTTATGAGCCTTTCTCTTAGAATGTATGACACCAAGGTGAGCAGTGTTCATCCAGGATCATATCTCCAAATCATAGTGTAGAATATGGAGAATGGTTGCAAGGTATCATCATTCACTCATTCAGTGGAAAACATTTTGAGACTTGTATTCTAAATTATTTTCATCACAGATTCTGACACACTGTGCTTAGAAAATGGAAGAGTGGCATCTTGTTGCTCAGGTTAATACCTGCTAGTGAATTAAACTTTTTAACTCATGACCCCCCAAAAAAGGAGGGAAGGAAAACTGGAGAAACACCAGGAAATGGACAGCAGTACTGTGTTGGTGAGAGTGGTGTTTCTCTCCTGCGTGGGTGTGTTATGGTTTATGAATTCTTTTGTGAGGGACCAGTAGCAGAGGATGTGAAAAATTCTTGTAGAAATTCAGATCTATGTGGAGCATGTGAGAGTTAAGCCTGAGTGAGTGCTTCGAGCAAAGGGACATTTATGATAGAAACTCACATTCATCAAACATGAATCTTTCCTGTGCCCCTCTATCTAGTACCAACCTCCTCAGAGAAATGCAAACCATGAGAACATGGGGAGAAGATTGCAGACACTGAGCACTTCTGCACTCCTGCTGTGTAAGAGCATAGTAAGTGCAGAAACCAGAAAAACCTCCCCTTGAACATAAGATCCTCTTTTGTTGCTTATAGTAAACATTCTTAAGCTTGTTTAATCCTGCTGTATCTGGCTCACTCTGCAGTGAGGTTTCTGTGAAGGCTGGGCACTTGCACTGTGTCAACAGCGAGCTACACCCCTTGCTTCACACCCACATCTTGCACTTTGGTTCTCAGCTCCAGCAGAGTCTCTTGGTTCCAGAGCAATTTTCTCAACCTTCCTGCAACCTGATCTCAGTGGCACTGGAGGATGTGGCTGGGACAGCCCTGCAGCAGCCAGGGGTTTTCTCCACTTATTGTGTTGACCTTTATCTATCAGCAATTTATCTTTTTGTGACTCTTCTTTGCCACACTGCAGAACAGTCTTCTGGAAAGCAGATTTTGCTTACCTGTCTTTGAACCTCATACTTCCCAGCATGTGTGATTTGCTCTTGGAGTACCATGGATTTTCTGGAGTATCCCTAATTCTGTTTACAACATTGATGGGACTCTTGAATAGTAGATTAATGTGTTGAAAACTAACTGTCCTTGCAAATCCACAGAGAAGAAAAATGCAGTAACTTTACTGAAAGGGTCAGTTGCAGCCCATTTCCAAAGCATTAACTTTTCTGGGCACTTGTTAACTCCACAGAAGTCCCATGACCTGCTCAGGCATCTCTGAACAGTAGATTGCTCCATTGCTCCGTTTCTATGGTAAAGACAAAAAGAGACTTTTTATCAGCACCCTGTGCTGGGTTACCTGAAGTCGTCAATTTGTATTAGAAATGAGAATTTTACAATAGCAGAATGCATGATGCTGCAACTGGGTTAAGGTAGCACACTTAGATTTTGTATCATTGCAGTGTCATTTCTTGCTTAATTCCATTTCTGATGAAGTCCTTTTCTCTTTTGGAAATATTTACAAATTACTGGGAATGATGTAAAATCCAAAATATAATACCAACAAAACCCATGAAAAATAAGGTGTTCTTATGTCTACTTTTCTTTTTCTGAATTTTAAAGCAAAAAACTGCAATATAAGAAAGTAAACAATGGTCTATCTTTCAGGAGGAATGAAAATGTTGATAATTTGGTTCGGGGCAGAGCATTCTGTTGCTTTCTGAAGTTTTGAGTCATAAAATTTAAAGATAGATGCAAAACTCAATAGTAATAATCCTGTCTGTGAAGGAACAGTTTGGACTCACTAGAAAGTCTTCCTATAACTATAGGAAAAATGTGCTTTTCTTAGTTTTGAAATAATTTTTCAAAAGTTGCCTTGAATTCAAAGTGCAAAGGTGGAAAATCCTGATTCTAGAGCTGTAGAAACTCAGCTGGTTAGCAGTCTATTTCTAACATGAACAAAAACACAGAAAGAAACAATAAATGGGAAAAAGGTAAAGATGGATATGGGATGGTACTTGCTTTGAGGGATAATATTAACAGAGATTTGTGGTTTCCATCAATGTTGAGCCCTAACCGTGTCATCCGTCCCAACTTAGATTTCCTTTTTGTTTCGTTTGTCTTTCTTGTTTTATTCCTCTCATCCATGCCCTTCTCCTTTTATCTTTCCCCCTTTTTTCTTCAGTTTTATGAGGATGTTAAATTGGATGAACCCCAACATCAGCTGTCTGGATCACTTAGAAAATACAGCAGAGATACAATGCCCTCTGCATTCCAACGAGAGGTGGCCATGGTGGAGCCCTCCTATCAGAACACTCATGGCCAAATTGCATGTGTCCAGTCAACTCCTTATAAGCTTAGTCAGTAAAAGACAGGCATTTTGGGGACAAAGGAATAATATAGTTAAGTCTAGAAATGAAACATGTTCAGGGCTGATACCTTATGCAGTTGTTGGAGGAAATAATTATTCATTGCTTTAGACAGAAAAGCAGAGAGTCATCTCATTCTCTGAATGTGATTGAACTCAACATCTGGAATCCTTGAATGTCCACAAGAACTGGGAGAGAATAGAATGTGAGAAACCCTACAATGATTTCAGTATGCATGCCACTCCACAACTTGGAGTGGAGATGATATGTGGTTTTCCTGGGAGTCCACTGATAGCTGGCTGATCTCATGCCCATTGTCTTCTGCATGGTACCTTCAGGGTTGGAGGACTTTGCTAGAGACTCAAAGGGATTCTGCAGGTGTCAGAGTTGTGCAGTTGACAGGAAGGTCCAGTCAGATTAATTCTCTCGTGCAGACAATGGACAAGAGTTGTTCCCGCCATTGAGAGCCTTGGAGACCCAAAAGTGCATTCCACATGAGACACAGTTGCCACTGAAAGGAAGATCAAAGTGTGTATTCGGCAGCAATGGGGCAGGTATGAAGCCTCTACACATGTATGTGATGCCAAATCTTTTCATTTCTTCTGCCTGTCTACTCCATTGCACCTTGGTCAGAGCAGAAGAGTTTATGAAGAAGGAGGATGGAAATTTTGTAGAAATAAACTACATCTGCATTCTCTGCTGGGTGGCTAAGCCAACACAGAGGGAGATGTAATCATAATTGAGTGTAGGGTGGAGTTAGAAGTAGACTGAATTACCTCTGTAGGCCCAGAATGAATAGAGCACATGAGGTATTTCCAAGCCAAAGAGGAAGAACTAGGAGTGCAGTGGAACATGGCTGAATGCATGTGTTAATGAAATCACATTTGTGTCATGCAAATTGATCTTCTGTTCATCAAGTCTTATGCTATTTAGGGATGTTTACAATAGAACTCGTGTTGTAACTCAAAGTATTGGAAACGTTAGCTGATTTTCACAAATGGTTTGAAAGTTGGGCTTTATGGAATAAGTAAGATGAATTCACACTTTGATGATCACAAATCCAATTAATGTACTCACATTAATTCACTGTAAATGTAAAATAAGTTGTTAATTCTATTATTTGCAAGATTAGCTTCTCAATTGTGAGTATTGCTTTTAATTGTAGTTAATTAGTATATGTGTGCAGTACCTAATGTTTAGATTCTTTGTGTGTATTTGGTGTGTGAATGTAACACATTTCAATTCTTTTTTTTATCCTTCATCCATTTTTCTCCCTCCCTCTAAGTAAGAAACTTTAAAGTAGGAAATAAATATTTGCACAGAGAAACAGTATAAATTGATATCAATTTCTCAATGGTAGTGCTATATTTTGGGATGTTGCAATTAAACAAAGGAAAGAAATTTTGACACATTGACTTCAATATTTTGACAATGTGAAACATTCAGCTTTTATTTTTTAAGAAGTAACACCTTACATCAATACACTAAAGCATACACAAATTATGTAAAGCTAAAATAGTCTTTCCAACACATGGATCATTAAGAGGCATCTCAGAACACTAGGAATGACTAGCAGTTCAGGATTGCCTGTATTGGGTGATTCGGTAATTTAAGACCCTTAGGAAAGTGTCAACCTTAAAAGTATCCCTGCGCAGGCAGCAGCACAAGTTGTAAAAAGTTATCCTGAAAACCTTTTCATCAGTTGACAGCAGAAACGGGAGTTCAGTCCAGAGAGCACGTTCCCCATAGTCTTTGAATTGAAAGTCAACCTAGTCACCAAAGAGAGAAACAACATATTGCTCACAATAACGGTACTTTTTGTTTTTGAACCTTTTGATTTTAAGTGAAGAGCTGAAAACAGATGACAATGTAAACCTTTTGTCAAAGGCATTGGTTTTCATGTATCTCATGAAACTGTTAGCCATCAAAAAGCTGGAAGCAGAAGCCATTTGTTCTTTTCCTGCCATATATGTGATGGCAGGTGAAGTGTGCTCCTGCAGGAGCAGAGAAATGGACATCAAGAAAGGTGCTGGTGGGATGTGGGAGCCTTTGACTCATAGACAGTATGAAGGACAGTTTCCATGCTGTCCCTCAAGGAATACTGACATTTCCTTAAACTTGTTCCAGATGACCACTATGTATTTTATTTTTTTCTGATTGCTCACTGTTTTGTTTTGTTTCCAATGACTGTATCTATTGTTCTTATAGTGTCTTCAGAAATAAATAACTTAGAGATGATGAGCACTTGGTGCTTTGAGGTACAGACACTCAATCTGGACAAAGAAGTTATGAGTGTCTCACTTAATCCAAAATTGTCCAATTCCAAGTTTCAATGAGGAGCAGCTGCTTTCCTTTGAGACACTGGAGTTAACATCTGAGAGAAGGAGGGTACAGTGAGAAGCCCTGCTTTGATGGAGTCCACTGTATGAGTGGGGACAGGATGCTGCTTCCGAAAAATGCAGCTCAGTGCAACACAGAAAGTGGATCTGCTGTCCTCACAGACTCTATACTGTGAGAATATCCAAAGATCTCTGAGACCCAAGTCCATTCTGAAATCTTCAGAAATGTCAAATGATGTCTAAAAATTGTAAGAACAAATCTCGGTAATGGCAGACCCTCATCTGCTGATCTGTCTCCTAAAGTGTGGAAAAAAACATTTCATTCCAGTTGAAATAGTATGTCTGTTTGTGTGTGTGTCTTTATTGGTGACCTTAATTTGTTTTGTTTTGTGGGTTTTTTTAAAAAAAATTTGTTGTGTGGTTCCTAACAGAAAAAAATTCTTACAAACTGTCAAGATACAAACAGAAACAAGTGAATAATTGAGAGGAAAAATGAACAGAAGATGAAGCATTAGAGAACAAATTATTGATCACTGAATTTGATTCTTAGTGAAGGAAATAAGCTAAAAAATGTTCTGTTCCTTCCATTATTTTCTGTTATTTTCTGTTCTTTCCATTATAGTGTGTTTACGAGTTGCAGATAATTGTCTTTCATGACAATGACAACATGGTGCTTTTAACAAGTACTTAGAACATAAACAGTGAACTATATCCTTGCTTATGATATCACTGCTATAATCATGAATTTTTTTGATGAATAATTCTTTCTGAGAACTTCAGAAAGCCATTTGCCTGTTACTGTGCTGTTGTTAAAATTGTCCTACGTGAATGGAGATCTAATTTAGTAAAGGTATGACCAATTGCCTGAGGTGAATTAATGCGAAAGTATGAGTCTTAACATACAAACCCCAAAATAGTTTAAGATAACACTGTATGAATTCTAAAATAAAGCACACTTCAGGAAAAAGTCACCATAATGGCTTAAATATTCATGCTATGGCCTTTTCATTGTCTTCAGTATTCAGGTTGTTGGAGCTACCATGGAACCTATATGGGTATTTTCATTCACACTAAATAAACTTTTGATTATGACTAGCTTGGCCTTATGAGTATTCTGCAAGATAAGCAAACATGTCTACTGAATTTCAACCCCATAAAGCAGTGATGTCTTGCAATATTATCAGTGAATGCCCATACATCACCTGATCACTACTGACTCTCTTCTCTCTGCTTGAGTGTACAAGTGCTTTAGATCATAAGAAGAAGAAATTATCCTGGCCACCCAAGGTTTCACTGAACTTTGGTGTGAGCATAAAACAGTATTTCAGTGTTGGAGTCCTCAAACACTTCAAGGGATAAAATTCTTTCAGGTGCCCTTGTGTGAATTTCTTCTCAGAGGAAATGTGTAATCACTAATCATGAAATGACCATCATGGGTGCTTCCTGTGCAGTGCAGAGGGGTGGACCCCTCAGCAGTGAAAGTCCTGAGACATCTTGAAATTGAGATCTACACTGCTGTCTATGCCTCTGACTCTGTGGAGTAGCAGATGGGAATGTACAACATTCAGACTAAGTGTTATGCCTGCAAAGCAATTGATGTCACTCTTCTTCCTATGGCAGAGGGAAACTGAACAATCAACCACTACACACCTGCCTGGCGATCATCTTCAGCCATTCTAGAAGTTGCTGTATTTTTTGCTGGATCAACTCAGCTTTCTGCATGAAATTCAGAGAAATCTTTGGCAAGCGAACTGCTTGGGCCTTTAGGTGGCTCATAGGATCTTCCCAGGAGAGCATCAAGTGGATCACCAGGTGGATCAGGTCCTGCTCCTGAAGACCAGGTTGGAGCATGGCATAACAGGGATGAGACACAGAAAGGTCAGTTACAGATAAACTTTGCTCAGAAAGACCACCTGAAAAACTAATAGGAGGTTCCAGATCTATAAAATATTTCTGTAGGTCACAGATGCTATTTTTTTCCTTTGGTATCAAGGATCGAACTCAGACCTTAGGCTTGCCAAACAGTTGCGTATACCACAGAGCTAAACCCTAGCCCTATGGATGCTCTTAACATTTACAAGATAAGCCAAACAATCACATGAAAGTAGCTGAAAAGAAGAAATATTTAATAGGATTTCTAATTGATAACAATTTCCTAACATTGTTTTCCCTCTAGAATTTCATGTTTGCATTAAAATCCTACTAACACTGTGTCTATGGCAGAAAATCTGAAAACCATGGTTCTAACAGGAGAAAATAGATCATAGATAAATTATTAATCCTTGATACATTTGCTCTGTTATCATCAGAGCAGACGCTAGAGTCGCACCTGTGAGCACGGTGTTGTGATATCAAAGGGTACAGTCACAGTGGGTTGACTTTCAGTGGAGACAGGGCCAGGTTCCAGAGTAAGTGCAGACTGAAGGAGTGGGGACTGCCGGAGCAGAAGCAGAAGCAGAAGGGGAGACAAGCCAGGGCCATAGAGATGGTGCAGCGTAGCACGGTCAGGACTGGAATCACCACCCATGCAGGAGCCACGCTACCCTGCACTGGGTAAACTGCACAAGCATTTCTCACATAAAATCCTAGATGTGTTGGCTGAGATAAGATCATCTACATTTCCCACGTACAGATCTTGCACAGTGTTTTTTAGCGCTGGATTTTTGTAGAGGTTTCCAAGTACAGTGTGATTGCTTTCACTGCTCCCTATCCTGCTGCTTTGCTCTGCAGTGTGGCTCCTGTCGCCACAGAACACAGGGCCCCTTAGAATCTACAGCCTGCATAGCCCAACACTGGCTCCTAGGTTCAGGCTGTGCTGAGCAGGGACTCACCTTCATCTTCAGGGTCTGCCTCTTGTTAAGGGGGGTGGTGATGGAAGCTGTGGGACAACTTTTCATATACTTGAAATACAAGTCTCGGTCCATGGAATACAGGGTTATCTGGAACCAATGAAAAGTTCAGTGTGTTGATTTTGGGAGGAAAAATAGGCATCTATCCACTTTATGTGGTTATATCTAATGCATGTGTAATTAGTTCCAGAAGAGGGATCCAAATTGTCTGAAAATACAGTTAGAAAATTACACTTTTTTTCCAAATTTTCCATTATCTCTGGAAACTCGTTTCCCCTACTAAATTTTTTGACCTCCTATACTCTTCTAATTACTATGTCTTTTATTTAAAGTCTTCTTTTAACTTAAACTGTGGAACACAACCATGAAAAACAGCAAAACTGCTAAACATACCAGTTAAGTTACAGTTTTTTGTAGCATTTAACCCAAATGTAGTGATATACACTATCTGTATTTACATATTTAATCTCTTGTTTCTCCTGGGTCCAAACTAATATACTTTCCTTAAGCAGATATAGAAATCATACTTTTCTTTCATTTACTTGTTTTTTTTTACATTCATCTGACTCTCTAATTCATCACCAATTAACAGTTCAAGTTTTTACTGTAAAAAATTTAAATCATAAAACAAAAAACTTGATGAGATTTTAAGGAACAGATTGAGATTCAACACCAGTAAATTACAGAGACTGTTAATAAGCAAACTTTGTGAAAGTAGAAGAAAAAATTTTAGGAAGATTTTGAGTAATACTCAGGACAATTACAAAATGCCAAAAGACAAGATGTCAAAAGGGAAGATGTCAAATGTGTGCCCTTGTAGGAGACAATGCCTACTGCTAAAACTGACTTTACCTGGAAACAAGAACCAGGCTCACTGCCACACCAAACATTCTGCTATCCTAACGTGGAATCTTGGCTCACTGCTTCCTTGTGTTTTAGCTCAGAAAATTTAATTTCTGTCCATCTGACAAGAAGTCATTTTAGTTCAATTCTGTTTAATATACTCAGTCCTCTGCTGAGGTGTTCCCATGTTTTGCACACCTGTGGTGCATTCAGTGAGGAATGCTCATGGATTGTCCCTGTGGGCTAGAGGGAGCATGGCCTAGCATGCTTCCAAAGTCCCCAGGGAAAATTATGCATGTACAAATTCTACATTTTTAAGAATGAAGTGAAGTAAGGATAGCTTTCTTTTAAAAATCATTGAAAATTTGCAAGTCATCCTTTTATGAATGTTTCCTTCCTTGGTGTTCCACATTTTATTGATTTCCTGCTTTCTTTAAACACATTAATCACTATTATTTCAAATTTAAATGATGAGGTTTTCTTGTTTAAATTTTACTCTTTGACCAGCATTATTGCAATGTCTGCTATTATTAAGAGGGGAAAACAAAAGTACTTACAAATTCCTTGTACAGTTCTGAAGAGAGGATGTAAATGTTGTTTGACAGAATGTTTGCATGATTAAGAAGTGTCGGCATGGGTATGTGGTAGTCAGTGCTTTTGTTATAATTAGACTGGGAGGTCACATTTTTCCACAGTAGCAGGCTCGACATCAGCAGCAGCATTAAAAATGACCCTGGTTAAACCAAGATACACATCTCTTGATAATTAGATTTCCAAATCTCTACAAATAATCCTTATTTTTGAATCTTTACTTCTCCAATGATCAGATCCAGTGTCATGTCAGGGTGCCAAATACAAATATCAGACAGTGAGTTAAAGAACTTTAAGCTCCTACAGTTCCTGGCAGCTTAAAATCTACAGAAACTACTTCCAAACTGAGCTATGTTAAGAGGTGACTCTATAACCATATATAACTCTAGGAACTTAGGTTAATTATGGTCAGGACCTGGCTCTCTAATTTGGCACTGTATTCCTGGGACTGGAAGACTTGGAACCATTCTCTACACGTACTTAAACAAAAGAAAGAGATAAGAGTTGGAAAAGTGAGGGACTTTCTGCTTTTTTATGTTTCTCCCAGAAAGGTTTTGTAGATTGCAAACTCTAGGAACTTAAGTTAATTATGGTCAGGACTGTTTAGTAACCTCTTAACATAGCTCAGTTTGGATGGAGTTTCTGTAAATTTCAAGCTGTAAGACACTGTAGGAGCTTAAAATTCTTTAACTCACTGTCTGATGCTTGTTTTTCACACCCTGACATTATACCTACACCACAATTCATTTGTTTGTTTTATTTTTGTGCTTTTTAATAAAATATATGTGCTTGCTAGTTACTCAGAATGAACAGAATCCTGCTATAAAAATGGTGCCATGGATAGGAGTGTTTTATGAACTGTAAAAATCTTATGCATTTGCTTGAAAGTGCTAGATGTTTTAGACATTATTTTTAATTTGGGGTTTACAATAACCATAAGACAGAAAATGAGCCTTCATTGTAAACAGCATCAAATTATGCAGATGAATCACAAGTAAGTGATTTTTCCCCATTCTGTTATTACCAGGCAGGAGAGACAGCATACTGATGCTGTGGTCCTTTCACTTGCATCATGCACGCCTTTGGGACCCTAGGCTGCACCTCTGCCATAGGATCCATTACAGGCTTTGTTATTATATTTTGTAACCAAACTCCTCTGTGCTAAGGTGTTCAGTCACAGGGATGCTCAGAAGATTACCTGTATTCACTTCCTCCGCTCTATATAACTGTCACATCACAGTCTTTCACAGTGATCAGAGGTGGGTCTGAAGGAAATTGTGGAGCACTAGCATAGCAATAATTCTGAACCCCAAAGGGAAAGAGACAACAGGCAGCTACAAAATTAAAAACATGTTTTACCTGCAGCGATGCTATTCCAAGAGCATTGCTAATGTTAAGGTTTTATCATCAGGAAACTGAATTCTACATAAACTTTGATAAATGAAGATAGAATTCTGCAAGGTAAATCTAGGCAAGTATTATAGATTTATAAGTGAATAATTACTCAAGTAAATAGATAAAAAATAAGCAGACAAATACATTTGTGTTGGGATTGAACTAAATAACAATTGAGTTATAAAATTAAAACAGCATAAAATCATTCATATGATATAGTTTTAGTTTTCCGTATACAGTTTTAGTAAAGAATATCACATTGCAATGATTCAGAAATTTAAATGTGTACTTTTTATACTAATATAATGAAGCCAAATAAAAAAAACTTTGTGTGGATTTGTAATGGAAAAGTGCCTTAGAGATGGAGAAACTGAGATAGAACTGGAAGAAGCTCATAACTGAATAGATGCTCCTACCAACTAGCACACATATGTGTCTTCAGAGAGTTTTTTACAGTCTGCAAAAAACAGACTAATAATTTTCTTTTTCAGATCGTATTTTATGATTAATTTTAATTTATTTTTCTGACAAATGTCACTTACTCAGTATAAGCAATTACTTAACACTGTCTTGCTTTTCCTTTTGATAGGACATTGTGGAAACTCACAAAATCAAGTAAGATACACTACTGAGATCACTGTCTGCTTGTGGCTTCAGAACTGAAAATTTCATTAGGTTGACCAAAGTCACGCAATTCACATAATAAACCTGAGAACCAGAAACATTGGGTTCTGTCTTTTGGTGTTGAGAGGATCGGACTCAATGACTTGTGGTCCTATGTTAGTCCAGAGTTCCCCAATCTCACCACTGCTGGCTTCTGAGGTAGATAATTACTTGTTCTGAAATCCATTTTTAGCAGGCCCCTGTCCTCCACCTCATAGACACCAGAAGCTCTCTCACTGTTCCACCTGCTCCTGCATTAATGCAAAAGTCTCCAAAGTTATCCAAGAGTCAAAAACTAGCAGGATTCTACCACTGGAGGACCTCAGAAGTGTTCTCTTGTGTCCTGTGTAGATGCTTTCCAGGGCAACATTTGGGTGGTTCTTCATAACCATATAAACCTGGCATCTCTTGCCATTAGCTACATTTTCACACTAACCCACCCAGGGTGATGATTAAGCCAGCACTCATTGTTTGCTGCACGTACCTATCGCCTTGGCATTCATGGTGGTGATCAGGAAAGGAAGCATGTTTGAGTGGAGTAGGTCTGTCTGTCCCTGGTCCAAGTTCAGGTGATGGTTCTGAACCTTTGAAGCATTCACAGACATATTTGATTAGACCTTCTCCTTGTTCTTCCCATTCTTCATCGTCCCTCACTGTGATGGCTCCATAATTTCAGACATAGAGAGCTACTTTATTTCTCATTAATTTTCAGGTAGATATGTGGATAAAAAAATGGATTTTGAGTAATGACATTAAAAATGATACAAATGATGTAAAGGAGATATGGAAATCATTTCTAGTTAGGGCATATCTAGGATTATTGAAGTTTTTTATCTGAACTTTATTTTGTCTCTAAAGATTCTTAATATATTTCACTTCAAAAATATATTCAGTTAATATAAATTAAAAATTTTCTCATTGAAGATTGTACATGAAGTAAAATCTTCAAATATATACTAAGTGTATATAAATATATACTAAGATCACAAAATTTCAAAGAATTGTAGGATTTTCTGTCTCCTGATGTACACTGAATCAATTCCTCTAATTTCCTTGATTTTTGCATGTTCTGTTTTGTCATGTTTAAATATATGTGATTGGTGTCTTATATTATGTATTTCCATTTCTGTATTGCTTGTGATTTTAACATGAATTTAAATTTGCATTAAACCATAGATACAGTTCAGTGCCACTGGCAAGAGTCAGCTCATGAGTTCAATTCCTGGTACAAATAGTATCTAGATTAGTATATCCATTTTCTAAACTAAGAAAAAAGCTTGGCAAAATTGAATAAATAGTGACTAAAATTATTCACCTATTTTTACTGCAACAAGACTGATCACTTCAACTTGAATTGGGATGAAATTGCACAAAGTAGGTTTGAAAAATAATTTAAATGATTTTGAAAACTAATTAAAAGCACATTGATATGCAGCCATGTTTAAATCTATGTTATCATAATCTACAACAAAGATTTTTGATAAATACAAAAACACAACATTTTCTAAGGCCAAAGAAATTCACATACTCCTTCATACATTTTACATGATGTAGTAAACATGTTAGATTATTACGTATTCATTTTAAGGACGGAGGCAGAAACACTGTAACTCAAAATCAATTAGCATTCTGTGACACATGTTACTCTGGATACAGTTTAAATATTTGTTTTTCTTGGATTCAAAACTTCCGCTCACCACTTGGAGATTTTCTAAAAAATGTAAGTATCATGGAAAATTTGTTGTCACTCTCCCTAAAAGTTATTTCCATGCACCTAAAGCAAGGTGAGAACTTTGACTTCCCACTGAAATTATATGGACAGATCAGGTACTATAGAAATAATCTATTTCTATGGTATTCTTTTATCATAGTACTTAGTGTCACAAAACTTTTAAAAAACATACCTAGGCCAAATCATGAGCAACACTAGTGTTTTTGAAATAGGTTCTTCTAATTTTCTTAGCTTAAGCAGTGCTAGAATTTAAATGTAAACAACATATGTGGTGATTCCCTGGTTCTAAAGGCAGGGACAAGATTTTAAATTGGCACTGGATAGTTGCTTTTTTTTTCTTTGTACAAAGAAAGTTGGAGTTATTAAGAGAAAAATATATCTTACTGCATTTTCTTCCTCTCCTGGAAACACAAGAGTAGGAAAATCTGTCACAACAAGTGATACCAACAGCTGGCATAAAGGAGGAAAGAGTTAGGACAGTGAGGAAATCAGGGCCATTGAGGGAATGGTACAAATCTGTGTTGATCTGGATTGAAATATTCCTCCACACTGCTAACATGTGGAATACGTTGCAAAAATAGTGACTGAGCAACAGAGATTTTCAGAAGGACGATCCCTCCAATTTTAGCATAAGGATGCTTCCTTATCCAAAATATTGCCTTGTTTGAAATTTTGTGCTCTTTTATTCTCTTTGGAAGAAAATAGATTTGAAAAAATATTTTTGTATTCAAATCTGTCAAAAATTAGACCACAAAACCATTGACTGTTTACCCTCATTTATTTAATATAATGTTTAATAAATAGGCAACATAGTGTCTATTTTTATAGTCAAATTCAATGAAAAAAGTAAAGCAATACTAATTATCAATTACAGTTCATGTGTAAGAATAAACATATATATGAAAAATGAATATTCATGTGAACTATGTGATGGAATAATCTATCATGCAAAAATGAAACTATAAAATGATGGTCATTTGGAAGAAAGTTGAAAGAAACATTGGAAGACAAAGAGATAGATTCTTAGGTAAAACTGATAACAGAATCTTGGCTCAGCCTGATTGCAGTAATAGGAATAGCTTTCTGAATAAAATAGCAAATTCACCTCTATGATAAAACTTGGAACTAAGAATTAACATTGAAATTTTTCATGGTTTTTATCACCATATTAATCAATATTATGAAGAAAGTTATTATTATTCTGACTGGATAGGGAATACCTAGAAGGATGGAATCAACAGAATATCTAGAGCGCACAGAGAATAGGAAAAGTATGCAAGGAGTTCCACTAGGTAGGCTTAAAGAAGATCACAGGAAGAATCACAAGGCTCTCTGAAGGCTGGAGAGTTAGTGTCCAGGACCTGTTTAACAAAACAAGCTGCAAGTTGCATAACAAGAAAGGATAAGGAAACAATTCTAGGACCCAGATTAAAACCCTGAATCTTACAGCAGTGCCACAGTGATGAGGCTGTGATGGCTGACTGAGGAAACCGAATTCCCATGCAGCACAGGAGACCAGATCTTTCTACTCCTTTTATTCTACATAGACTGCAAGCCCATTGGACACTGCCACCCCAATCTGGGTGTCCATAGCAGCCAATTGCTGTAGCAACATTCCACTCTTATCTGGAAATACCTTGCAGGCATATGCAGAAATGGGCTTTACTAATCTGTGGGATATTTCAAAATCCAGTTAGATTTACATACCATGATTAATGGTCACTGTTCATCTCGATCAATAACTTCTTAAACCATACTAAACTTCCAAATAAAGGAAGCAGCAAGTTCATAATTGCACATAACATAATATAATTAACCAGCATAGAAGTGGGAAACACAAAGGATTTTTTAGAAGATGTGTCAAAGTTACTTTGGGTGATGTTTGAGTCCTCATGATATTTCTAATAATGTAGATTTAATATTAAACTACTGACAATGGTTCAAAAAATGTTAGCTTGGAGGCAGTAAAAAATGCAATAAAGATTAACTATATGGATATATATATATATATATATATATATATATATATATGAATGTATGTACGACAGCTGCTAGGAAGCTTGCTAGCAGCAGTCTTGCTACTTCAGCTAGAGGGATAATCCATGAGTCCAGGGGTTTCTGCACAGACCTTCCTTCTGTCTGGGTGGAGTTGCTGTCTTTTTCTGTTGACCTTCCTAAAAAGGCTTGCCAATGTTAGGGTCTAGGCTTGCCCCTAAACAAACTGCAGAGCTCCAACCCTACTCTGTGTTTTCTCCCTGGTGGAGTATGTCTCAGATCTCCATGGTAGTCTAAATCAATCACAGCTTAAGTACCCCAACTCCCTGTGTAACCTCAGAAGCATGATGAATACAAAAAACTGAAAGGCAATCTCATATTGCAATTTAAAGCAATCAGTGTTGTTCTCTCATTAGAGGTGTTTTCCATTTTAGAACTGTACAGCTATTAGCAGAGAAAATGGTAATAGGAGTAGTATGCAAACATTTTCATAGGGGAATCCCTAGGGGAAAAGCTACTGCTATCTTTCAGGTGTTCACATTGGATTCTAGACTATATGTCAAGGTGTGGAAATAACAGCAACCGTATATTGGATACTGAATAAGAGCATAGCAAATAATTATAATATGGAACAATTCTAAAGAACTGGCTACAGTCCTTGCAGTGTATTGTCCCATAGTGCACAGTAATTTTAACTGCATCTTCAAAAGCTGATTTGATCTTTCCATCTATCCTGCTGGAAGAGGGAAACATGTTATGACCAGGGATTTCCATGAGCCCAGGCCTTAACTAATCTCCTTGGCCATGAAGCACATCTTTCAGTCAGAGGCAATGATGAGTGGAATTCGTGATGGTAGGAGAAACCATCTATAGGTCACTAGATGTGCATCTTTGAAGCAGCTTTACAAGGAGAGAAGGTAAATTCACCCCAGGAATGTGCATCTACTCCAGTGAGGAAAAAGCTACTTATTCCATGGTGAAAAGTGACAAATATCATCAACCTGCCATGAGGACAAAGGCTCACTATAGAAAGCACCACCATAGGAGGCTCCAGCTGATGACTTTTCCTGTTTGAGCTCTAACGATTCAGTCTTGATGGCTGAAAGTAATTTGAATGAGGCCATGAATGGCCTCCAAATCTGACTTTGGATCCTTTTGCCCATTTGACCATTGGACAGTGATAGGCATGGCTAAGCAAAAAGCCTGATGTTATTCTCAGCCTGGGTTTCCTGCTATGCACCTGGTCACTGAAGTCTTCTTCTGAGGTAGTGGTATCTTGAGTGTTTTTGTAGCATACAATTTTCTTAACATCTGTCACTCAAAAGGAACACTCAATTCACATATCTTCCAGAAAAGTTTGTCATCAGTTCTCCAGTCATGTTCCAAACAAAACCCTGATGTTCTTGCCAGCCCATCAGCTCTGATTCATGAAATGCTCTATATGACATTTTGATTTGCAAGCAAAATATATGACCAACTTCACTGCCCATAGTTCTACTCCCTGTGAGGTTGCAGCTTACCACTATCCTTCACTGATATCTTGGAATAGGGCTGTCATACAACAGCTGTCCACAGGCAGGTAGTTTGCGTATAATGCAAAGGAAATCTTCAGGATTAGTCCACATGTTCACACTTGGTTTCAATACATAATAGTTTGAACTTCCTCATGTATTAGGTGCTTGTTCAGGGACAGAAAAACATTCAGCGGAAGTAAGAACCACAGCATGTGTAACATGTGTTCTTGTACCTTATTATGACTTAGGCATATTTTCAAATCAGATTCCCTATATACAGTTTTCACTAATGATATTAAAAAACATCTGTTTGCATTGCAATTTCAGTTAGATAACAACCAGTTTATGACGGGCATCACACATT